GTAAATTACCGTTCATAAATATATGAAGGTCTAAATTGTTGCGATAACAATTGGGCAAAAAAGTTGAGTTTTATCTAAATTTAAGTTTATCAGCCACTGCGAGCTCCATGCTGTAGCAGAAGTGAGATCCTTTTCAAGCACAGAATCTCCCTCCAAGCAATCAGAGAGAGTTGGCTTCTTATCATAACAAGAATAAATGGTAGCGTCATCAGCGAACAATGCCACTTTAGATGCGAGAATATCTGGAAAATCGTAAATCTAAATTAAAAAGAGTATAGGACCAAGGATTGAATCTTAAAAAACCCCTGAGGTTACAGAACAAGAAGAAGAGTGCTGTACATCAAACACAACTATTATACTATAATTGGAAAGGAAGAATTCAATAATCTTAAAGATGTTTCTAGATACACCATAAGAAGAAAGCCTATGGAGAAGACCAGCATGCCGAACTTTATTAAACGCTTTAGAAATGTCAAGAGCGATGGCCTTAACTTTTTCAACTTTATGTATTGCACAATAAAACCTATCGGTTATTACAGTTAGCAAATCAGCCGTATTACAAAAAGATCGAAATCCGTATTGATGATCAGAAAGTAAGCTAATAGGTTCAAGATGAGAGATTAAGAGTTTTTAAGTTAAATATTCAAAAACCTTATGAAAGGAAGAAAATTAATGGAACAGTAGTTAGACAAATCAGATCGCTCTCCAGAATTTTTAAAAATAGAGATTCCAGCAGGTTGGAAAACAAAATTCTGATAAGCACTTGATGGATAGTTTTAAAGGATAAACGAAAGCTCCGGATAAAACCTTTGCAAAGATTATAATAGGTATGTTGTCTGGGCCACAAGCTGTAGAACAGTCTAAGCAGGAAATCACTTTAGATACGGAAGCTGGACTGATACGAATGTCAAGCAATGGATCAACCTGTTTGACGGCTATATCAGGTAGAACGCAACTAGTGAAATCGAGAGATGATATTGATGAAAATTTCTAAGCAAACAATTCAGCTTTGTCTTTAGGTGAGATGACAAAGTCTAAATCGTACAAAAGAGGTGGAATTACAGACTTGGCCTTATTATTGATACTACTAAAGATTTTCCAGAAGTCATGAGTGCCAAATTTTTGTGGTAAAATACGAGATTTCATGATGTGAGAATAGCGGGCTTTGGCATTAGACAAAACCTTTTTTACAATGGTTCCTAACAGTAATAAACAGACGTCTGTTTTCTGTAGAATGGTTTTGCAGATAGATATGAAAGTAATGGTTTCGATTGGCAATTGCAGCAGCACAATGTAAGAAAAACCATGGAGAAGAGTGAGGCTTGACCTGGAATCGTCGTGAGGAAATAAAGGATTCCATGCCTGCCTGAATCCACAAAGTTATGTAAGAGGCACATTTCTCAACAGGAAAACGAAAGATTTATACCAAAGGGTCATCACGAAGAAAATCGCGGAAAGAGTCCCAGTCAGCTTTAAGGTAGTTATAAGATGTACGATGTCAACTTTAAGGTAGTTATAAGATGTACGATGATAGGGAGATTCTGATAATAAATAAGAATGAGATAATAGCTTTAGAGAGATCAAACTGTGATAAGAGGCACTTTAGGGTGAATGTGGCGAAACTGAGCACTGGCTAGGTTTAGAAACAAGACATAAGTCGAGTAGAAAAGATAAATGATTCTGGTTGACTGGATAGCGATTTGGAAAGTTGACTATTTGAGTTAGGGATTGAGAAAAGCAAAAGCTGTGGGTTTTAATACCTGCAGAGTCACAAGATGAGACAGCTGAACTAAAATTAGTTACACAAAGAGTAAGTAGGTCTGGTAAACTTTGCAAGAGATAAGACTCAACAGAAGAAAAGGTACTTCGAAGACCACGAATATTATTGAATGTTAGGTTTAACGAACTTGGTGATGACAGTGGTTTTTTGTGTTTTATAGTTTTTGTTACTTTATTTATTTTTAAAATTTATTATAGAACTTGATTTGAAACATAATAAGTACTCAGTACACTGTTTAATAGCCCAAGCAATTGTCTCATTACAATTAATAAACCCTGAGCCGTAACAAAGGCAATGCACACTATAAGTACAAATAGGGACACCATCCATATGCAACATGGCATTGTTAATAATTTGATATTTTTCAGCTGTTGATGAAATCAACCTCTCTGAGAGTTACCACAGAGTTCGGGAAATCTGACTACCAGCCGGCCTCAGAGCCATAAAACTGAGTTTTAGAACTGTACCATCATTAGGAGATAATAGAATGCCCAAAGGCAGGGCCTGTTTTATGTCGGAGTTGGCATCTCCTAGCCTTTGCCTAAAAAGGCGTATCCTACAAGGCAGCAGGACATGAAGCAAATTGTATAGGGTTACATGTTACCAGTAGCAGGAAAACCTGAAAAATAGCAGATCTATCACTACTATTAATAATATCACAATTGACATTTTTAGTAACAACTGCAAAAATGATTTTATAAAATCTGATATATCCAACCA